GATAATTCAAACCTACCAGCAGCATCATGGTGTTTGGTTGCTTGCTTTTCAGATGAGCATCTGAATAATGAGAGAATTTAGGTCTGTGATATCCCATGTGTTATGTTTTAGTACAGTACTAACCCGTGTCTACATCTGCAGCAGGGTTTATGTTAAGAGGTGCTCTGAAACTTAGTGATTCACAGGTCTGAGTACATAGAAAGGAACTAGAGGAGCTTCTGGAGTGTGCATGCTCTTTGGCATGAGCCACTTCCCTTAGACTTCCTTGTAAGGTAAAAGTAGCTAGTTGCAGCTGTGCATCTTGTTTGTAGAGGACAATTGCTGTATCTTATTCTTCCATGTGAGTTTTGTGTATGCTCAAAGGTCAGAGCTGTGTTATTTGACTGGAGTTATAATGTCTTAAAGTAGTTTTAGCTCGGAAGTACTGATTTACAAGAAACAACTCTTCTCTTCATAACAGAACTAATTTCCAAATTGTAATAGTTCTGTAGTGTCACATAATTAGTAGTGCTTTTGTTTTTCTTTGTGTTAATTTGTGCATCCTATAATTAGCTAAACCATCCAAGCCTCAGCTCTGTACTGGTAACAGAGTTAGTCGACATTAGCAGCATGAATAAAAGTCTTTTGGTACCCAAATGATGTTACTTTCTGACTTCCATATGGTTCTCATTTCATAGGTATGTATTTTACTTGGACAGCAGGATTTCCTTAGCCTCAAGCCAATTGAATTTGTCTTAATTGCAGTGTAGACAGGTAGGTCAGCTTGCTGCTATTAGGGACCAGGTGGCTGGAGTGTTCTAAATTACTTGACTTATTGCCAGATGACTTGGAAATTGTACCTTCCTATGCCTGGAATGCAGTCTCCAGGGTAATCATGAGAAAACCATGAGCTGGTACAGCTGCCATATTAATGGAAAGGCAAAGTGGGGAGGCTCTGATACAGCAGTTTCTTTGGGTTCATGCCTGGCTTGAAGAAGGAGTGGTCTTGTTGGCTGATGTCAGTGGCAGTATGTGTGCACTGTTCATTCAGGGTAAGCTAGAAGCAGGAAGAGAATTCAGCCGCGTATCTCCCTGGACTTCTTTTGCAGTCTCTAATTGCATTGGCCTATTCTTCTATGGAGAAGTACAAAAACCTAAAGCTTTTTAAGCTAGTGTTAAACTCACTACCTGCAAGTGATGGATCAGTCACACTTTTAATTCAAAGCAAGAGGATGGTGGAATGATGAGGAAATTGGAAATTTGCCTTGTTAAATGCTTTCAAGAGAGCCTTTGAAAGAAAGTTTTGTTTAAAAAAAATTGTACCTTGTTATAACTGACTTTTTTCAGTCTTATTGAATGAGAAGGACTAGATTGTGCGGAGTGACATGTAAACCTGTTCTGTTCAGTTTTTCTAAAAAAGCTTTAACATTGCTTGTCTCTTGTTCACAGCTTGCAGAAAGTTCTGTCTTTACAGTAAGCTGTTTATGCCATCTGATGATTTTTGAGTGACTTCTGAAATTTAGGTGGGACCAAGAAATTTCATGATGTACCCCAAAGCTGCTTGTCTTGCATCTGGCAAAGATTTGTGCTTTGCTGCTATAAGCAGGACGTATGCCATTCTGTTTTGCTAATATTTATTGCATGGATTATGGTAGCTAAGGGTCAGGGCATGATAAAACAACATTCACTTCAACAGCCATGTTTCTAAAACAGTGGAGTGAAATAGCTTGAAATACCAACAACTGGATCTCCTTGATACTGTAAATAAAGACAGAACACAGGTTACAATCAAAATAGTATCACTGACAACGAAGGTAAACGGCTAAGTCCTGTTTTCCTTCCCTTCTGCTGCCAGAGCTCTTTCCCAAAAGCTTGCTGTGTAATTGAGCTCCGGTGGCTGGTTTCACAAAGGGAAAACTGAGGAATCATGAAGTAGTCATTAAGCCCTTGCCACTTTTGAACCCACTGAAGCGAACTGTCCCTGACCTCAGGTTGAGATAAAGGACCTGCTTTCTAGGCCTTGAATGGACAAGCCTTGTGGGGAGGGATGAACTCCATGAAAGGTATAGGATACACAGCTGGTTACCGTTACCTTCAGTCATTTTCCTTACATTATCATGTGTGAGGAAGGCCCCTTCAGTATGTAACCTGAATTCAAAATGTTTTCATGAAGGTTTAATTATCTCTGCCCATGTTGAATTTTTCAGTCTGAACTGAAATGTACATCGCCTATGCCAGCAAGGAGTGGGCATAAACTTGGTGCAACTTCGGCTTGCTTCTAGCTCTGCTTGGTGGGGTGTTCATAGTCTTGAAATCTAGGCCAGGTTTGCTTTCTCAGAATGCAGGGTGGGGGGGGAACAGACTGGCAACTGTTTTGAGGTGGATTCTAGACATGGATATGCAGTGTTGACACTGCTGTTGTGCAGTTATAGCAAATCCTGAGGTTTACTCTTTCCAGGTAGACATCTAAAAAAATGGAGAAAAGTTGCAGACAACCCCATGGAACTGCACTGATGTACAGCAAACTTCTGATGTGAGATTTAACACTCCCATTGTCATGTCACTATTCTTCCTGGAAGCTTGAAAAACATGGAAGAATGCATAAACCAGCAACTGGACTTTAATATGAGATGGCTTATGATAAAGCTGCTTTTATAGCATACAGACTAGATCATGCTGAGTGGTGCTTTGTCAAGCAAAACTCTTATAGCTTATTTCTTGGGAGAAACGTGGGGGTTCTGCTAGTGTTACAGCCAGGATTGCGTGTGTTCGCTGGGTGATGATGTGGGAATATATTTAGGCTGCTGCTAAAATGACAGATGTTTAAAATTAGCTTCTGGAGCACTGCAAGAACTAATTCTTCTAAGGTTGTCTTCCTTTGTAACTGGGGAAATCATATAAGCTGCAAGGAAAATTTCACTTCCAGTATTTGGCAAATTGTCAAATTGATGTTGTCAGTATAGGCATTCAGAAGATACTTTGTTTTAAAAAAAACCCCAAACACATGAAATCACTTCCAAACAATAAACTCAGGGCTCCTGTCTTAAATATTTGTGTGTTTGGTTCTGATATGTGCAGTTTGTACTTTAAAGTTGTAACTATGAAACTGCCTTGGTAAGTTTTGCTGGAGAGCTTCCCTTGCTCTGGGCAGATGCAGTGTTCCAGAAGTTTTGGTCTCTTTACTGTTAACCACTGCAGTTTCGTTGGAGCCAGGAGTAATGGCCACTTCAGTGTTACTTAAAAGCAGAAGCTTCTATTCCATGGAGACTGTTGCTTCTCAGTTAGGGAAGGATTATCTTAGGAGGGAAGAATATCTGAGACCCAAGCAGGAATCCCGTGTTTTCCACATGTACACTGTTGGACAGAAATACCATACAAGTTTCCCAGATAATTATTGTGTATTGGCATAAAGCTCAGCCAGCCTTCTGACTGAAATAGGGAATATGTAGATATTGCACCTGAAGAGGAAAAAGAAAAAATCTTCATTCCCTTGGTACTGGAGTATGGGGAAGGCAGAGCTGAGTGAATCTCTGCCTGCTGTTACACTGCAGTGTGTCCAAAAATTGCTTAGCCCATATAAAATTCAGGCTGAAGAAAACGGATCTTATTAAAGCAAAGTAAGAAACAAAACAAAAATCCCTTTAACCACAAAACTGAAAAGGAAAACCCACAAAACTCTTTGGGGGTTGTGTATTTTTAGTCATGAATGTGGCTTTGTGTTTTGAGGCTTTGCCTGTTAAATGGTATGCGGAGTACATTTGTTCTTTACATGCCACCTCTATACTGTGGCTACAAATGTGAAGAGCAACTTCTGGAAAGGTTAATTAATATCTATGTAAATATGAAATGCTTTCCTTTGAGCTACATTGTTTTATGTTTAAACAGAGTCAGTGAATATGTGCTGTATTAGTGCTTAAAAGATGGTAAAAAGTCCTTTCTTCTAGCAAGGTAGGGGACTTTTTTAATTGAGGCCTCGTGGGAACTGCCTGAAATCTTGTCCTGACTGTACTGTGTAGTGCTGAGGCTATTGGAGGAATGAGCGTGTCTGCTTTGTGATGGGCATGGAAGGGAAATTATCTGGTTTTGGAGTTCAGGAAAAGTTTCAGGAAAGTTTTTTGAGGTTAAAACTCCCCACAAAAAAAATGAAAATGGGGATTGACTCATATCTTATATGTTACTTTCCTTTGAAGACTGAAGATCGTAGCTAGGCATAGCAAAGAATGCCCATATGTGTCTATGTATAAATATATAAAGTGCATACATAGTGTGTCTAGATCTATAATTAATTGGTAATACTTCTTTGAGTAGTGGACTTAGCTGTATCCTCTTATAGAAGAGACTTACGCTTTCCAGACTGAATGAAGAAATGCTTTTTGTATGGTCTAATAAAATTAGAATTAACTTGCATCAAGTGTGGTGTAACTTGAGCAGAAATTGTTTTCTGTTTGCTCCTGACTGGTTGATATGAAATAGCAATAATGATTTGTTAGCTTCAGTCTGAAGGTCATTCTGGTGCCTACCCCACTGCAAACTTTTTTCATGTATTCTTTAAAAACTGTATATTCTTGGAAATACTTTTTTAATAAACTGAAGTATGTGCAGATTGGTACAGCTGCAAGAGAAATAAAGCTTGAAGACAAGATGCTTCCAGCAGGAACCACCCTCTCAGTGGTTCTCTGGAAATGAAGTATTACTCTGCACTCTCAGCTGGTGACAGCCTTCTCTCCGAGCGATGTGTAATCTAAAGTTTATGCAAATTACCCCTTTTCTGTGTCATCTTTATCATGCATGTGTACATACAAACATGAGAAATGTAATAAATGTTTCATAAGTGTAATGGAAATAATTGGAACAAAGCGGGTATACTCTCTGGTGGGTCATATAACCCTGTCCCAAGAAACAGGGTGTGATTTATGTTCATAATTGTGCTCCTGAGGCATTGCTGTGAAGCTCAGTAGTCGAAACAACACTGCTGTGCTCTGTACTAGGAGGGAGGGATTTTGGCTGTTAGGGACCCTGCGATGACTGTATGACACAGAAACCTGTCATAAAATTGAAGACCTTTAACATCATATCTGCTTTTATCTTCATTACTTATAAATACTTGTGGTGACTAGTACTAATAAATTTAAGAAAAAAATAAATATGTGCTAGCCTGACTCTGTTTGAACCAAATAAAAACTAGGGCCAATGTACTTGTGTAAGGCCCCTCTGAAAAGGGCCAGATGAGGGTGGGGGACAGTTTTTGGCAAGTAGCATAAATTTGCAAGGAAATGGTGCTGCTGGAAGGCCGCACAGCGTTAGAAGTGGCAAGTGCTGTGCATGCTGACACACTACAACTGCTGTTAAAAACCAGCAAGTCTTTAAACACCAGCTGATTGGGAATTTTCAGGGCTATCTTGTCTGGCTTGAGCGGGCCAGGCAGCTCTTAACACAAACTAGTGTCTGGGTGAAAGACCTTCTGCTTTGTGATGCCTTTCTGAATAGCTTATTCAGCTGGAAAATACAGCGAACAAAGGAGCTGGAAATATTTTGTCAAGTTGGTGATCTCACAGTCCAGAGAGCCAGCTACCAATTATAAAGACTTCCATTGTGTCACACAAGAGCTAGTGTATAGAAAACTCCACATCTCACCATCTCTCTATTAGCTTCTCTCTGCTTATTTTTGCCTTGAGGATGGTGTGGATGTGGAGTGCATTCTCAGTAATTACGTACACTTTTCTAATAGGCTAGGTTGAATAGCAAAAGGGGGTTAACTTTATTAACTTTTTGCTTGATTTCTGACTTTTGTGGGGATTAGGAGGGAGGGAAGCCTACCGAGTTCACAGTGATTAAGTTTTTACAACTAAGTGCAACAAACAAATGGTATTGTTTCTGTGGAGAGTGGGAAGAGGGAAAAGTGCCTCCCCAGTTAATTTAGTAGATGTTGGCAGGAAACAACATATGATTAATCACAGCATACAGTGGTCTCAAAAACAGACACCCAACAGCATACCTAGTGAAAAGGAATTATCGTTAGGACAAATATTTGTTGCTGTTTTGCTGCTTGTTTTCATCTGGGCTTTGCAGTGAGATTCTGAATCTTAAGCATGACTTCTTTCTTCTGCAGGTTGGAAAAGAGACTGTGCAGACAACAGAAGACCAGATCTTGAAAAGGGATATGCCGCCGGCGTTTATCAAGTAAACTTCTTTTATTGTAAATCTTCTATTGTAGGTACAGGAAACCTGTTCCAATGATGTATCATTGTTGCTTGTTTCTGCTTTACAAAGTCCTCTTACGTTTGAATAGCTCTTCGGGGTCTTGAGGCTGCCCTTTGTCAGGAATGGCCTTACTGCCAACTGTGACTTCCTGCTACATTCTATACATATCTGTGTGTACATATTCTGTACATATCTAGGGTATTTCATCCTTTAAAATAATAAAAAGAACGCCCAGAGTAACAGTGGTACTTACCTATGTACTGTTGTAGTTTTGCCTAACAGAGTCAGAGATAATGCAGCGTTCTCAGTCTTTCCTATTAATTTGGTTGGTGGCAAAGTGTGAATTTGTCAGAGCAGGCAGCTGATGTACGAGGTGGCTGCCTGGAAACCTAAGGCATCTGAAGAGCGGGGACTGACGCTCTGAATTCCATGGCTCAGTGTCAAGGACAACCGACTTTCTCCTTCGGCTGCCTTAAGTCTTAAAAATCATAGATCACTTCTTGTTGTGGGATTGCCAGGCTTCTTACTGCCATCTTGGTACTGTCCACTGCGTACAGAATGACTGGGTATTTCACTGTACTCCCAAGCACAAAAGGGGCATGTAGTCAAAACTAGAAAGCACTGAGGCAATGGAGAAGATACTAAAACAGAGAACGGAGGTGATGTCTAAAGACAAGATTTTTGTTAGGCAGTGAAAAAGAATTTAGTAGGTTGACAAAATGAATAATAAAGAAATGCCTTGGACCAAGTGGCATTAGCGTAGAGTCTAAGAATGAAATAGCTGAGTTTTTAGTGAAGTATAGTCTGTCACTTGAGGCTACCTGGTACGTCAGTCCAGGTGATGCTACTGCCCAAGAAGCTTGCTAGGGGAATCTGGGGAACAGGAGGTACCCTCGGAACAAAGGACTAGAGATTATGTGCTAAAGAAGAGAATTAACAGATCCCAAATACATATGATTTGCTTTGGGTGAATTGACAGTGTTTCTGGGGAGGAAAACTCTGCTTTACAAATCCGTTGGTGTTCTTAGAAGTACCACAGACAGGGTTAAGGGTAATCTGGGTGATACAACATATACTGATTCCTAAACTTTTTGGCAAAGTCTGAAGGCTTTGATGAAGTAACCGCAGCACAGTAAGGAAAGTTCTTCCATGGAAAAGAGAAAATTGAAAGGAAAAACTGCATGGCTAACCCTGAAAACGGTGGGAGGTAATCGGTAGGGCTGTGGAGATCTCTGCTGGGACTGTGCTTCTCACCACATGCACAAACGCCCTGGAAACTGGGATGAGCTGTGAGTCGCAGGTACTTGCTGATGACCCGAAGTCTTACAAAGGGTGGTGAGATTAACGGATGACTCTGAGAAGTTACAGCAGGGCCTTACTAAACTGAGTGACTTGATATTAAGCGTGGATGAAATTATTTCAAAAGATCTGGAACGATGCACACACGGGAGAGCTGCAGGTCTAGCTTCAGATAGGATGAGTGACTCTGAACTGACCATTACCAGTAGTGAGCAAGGTCTTGAAGCTGTCACGCACTGGTGAGAGCACCAGTTACATGCTCAGTAGTGGTCAAAAAGTAAAACAAATGTGAAGTTTAGTAGCAAAGGATGAGAGACCAAAATGTCACTGTGTGTTTCTTCTCCCACGCCTAGAATACTGCATGCGCTTGTGGTCCCTGAATTTTAGAAGGGCTGTAGTAGAACGGGAAAAAGCTCCTAGAAGGATTTTGAGAAAATCAAAGGCATGGAATTGCTTCTGTATAAGGCGAAGCTGCGTAGGCTGGAACTCTTCAGCCTGGGTAAGGTGACAGAGTGGACTCGGGCTCTGGCAAAGGTCTAAGGAAGGATGAGTTGTGTGGAGAAGATGGAAACTTGCGCTTCTCTTCCTGTGCAAGTGCTTGATGGGGGCATCGCTTTCAGCTAGTAGTCTATAAACCAGCGATAGGGAGAGCTGCTTCCATAGCAAGCCATATACTGTTACAATTCTTTGTATAGGTTTGGGGGTTAATAGATAAGTACTTAGGGGAACCCATTGTGGGTTTATTGAATAGACAAGCTGTAGGAAATCCCAAGCACTGAGAATAGTGGGAGGACGGGAGAGCGCCCAGCGGAAGCGTGATAAATACTTATCCTGTTCTTAGCCTTCCTTAGGCATCTGCCTGCAGCTACTTTCGGAGACAGGATATGGAGCTAAATGGGCCTTTGATACAGTCCACTGCAGTATTTGCTATGCTGTGCTCCTGGTATGTGAGCTCGTTTGGGTGTAGACGGGGTGGATATTTTTTTTTAATTTTTATTGAGGGGAGTGTTTGTGTATTGAAATGAGACCAAAACTTTTTTCTTGCTTCTTGCTGAGTTGTATGCACACATGTAATTTTGATTGCTCTAACTTTCTAGGATGTGTAGAGTTTTTAGTTAATTTCCAGCTTCTTGCTCACCTAGACAAGTAAGGGATTAAGGAAAAGAGATTTTTTTTCTTGTTAGACTGCAATCAGCCTTTGATCAGCACTTAGCAGATTGTGGAGACTTAAATAGTTACGTTACTGTAGAAATGTGAGACGAGCACTGCTGAATAGTACCGCTTTATGCTGGGCGCAAGAACATTTTCTGCAGCAATTCATGACTGCTTGGATTGTGATATGGTGGAAAATGGGAAACAAAGCGCTCTCTCACCGTAATGAAACCTGCTTCACTGAGTACTGCCCTACTACGCTGGATGCAGTAACAGGAGTTAGGAATGTTTAATGGCCTTTATGAATGATACTCTATTGCACTTTCTGCTTTTTGTTAGTCCTGGAGTTTATATCAAAATGAATTAGTAAAAGTTCCTAGTTCCTTGTGTATTGTCACTGATATCTGTGACAGTCACAGGTGAGCTGACAAGGGAGTCTTACCTGTTCCTGCACCAAAGGGCAGGGTTTGAGTGGAGAAGTGACACCGATGAGGGCTGGGTTTTCCTTTCTTGAGAGGAGAGGGTTTTATGGGAGTGCTCAGGCAGAATTTGTACCAGCACATGGGTGATGGGATAAGGAGCAGTGCGTGTGCACTAGCACCGCATTCCCTGCCCATGTTTTCTCCATTCCAAGGGACCACCAGTCTCAAGGGAACCAATCTTGGAGGATGATGGAGAAATGGGTTTATTCTTTTCAAAGACTTGGGTTTTGGGTTGCCCGAGACTGGCATTGAGGGTTCATAATGACTATATATGATGCTGATCTGTAAAGTTTTTCAGTAGGAGCGTGACTGTGCAGCAAAATAATTTGTTGGCTGCTGAGAAGCTATCATGCATCCCTTTGGTTGCTACTGACATAAACTACATTGGAACTCTTGACCTAGAGTTAAAAAATGCTACGTTCTTTATCCTAATTGTCTTAGTTACCAGGGAGCATGAGTAATGCATATGACTTACATCAGATGTTTTGCAATGTGTTGGTATTACTTGTTATACTTGTAAAGAAGCAAAAAGCCGTAATGTCTAGGTAAAGAATAGGGTCACACCTATTTGTTTACATGGAGAATAAAAGTTTGTCTGCGTTTTAATGTGCAAACGCAAACTCATTTAACAGATCAAGCAGTAATGCTATTCTATATTAACATCATTTTGGTAGCCAAGATGGAGCTGCATTGCTGGTAACTGTATTAACAAGTTAATGTTAATATAAAATACTTGCTTTTTAATTTATATTTCTAGAACTCCAAGTAATCTAAACCGTAGGGAGTAAACTCACTACAACTTAAGCGATTAGAAGTTGAAACAAGCATTATTCAAGCATCAAAGGCGTTGTCTGGCATTTTTGGCAAGCATATCTGGAAAAAGCAGAGGTCAGTCCTAAAACTGGAGATGGTAGCTTAGCATAAACTAAATTTTTTTCCTCACATTTCATAAAGACAACACTAACAGCAATGAGGCTGACTGACTACCAAAAGCAGTATGTTGGAAGTATCATGACCTGTGTCTTCTCCACAAAGAATCTGGCTGGTGTTAGCATAGCTTTATTGTAATCATGCCTCAAAAATAATATAAATTTTTTTATAAAGCCAGGGGTTTTTTAGGTTGTGATGTAATACAGTGAATAGAAAATTCACCATGGCAATGACTTTCGTTTCAAAACTTTTGAATGTGTTTGATTCTTGTGACAGAACAAGTGGTTCATTGCAGTGAACGTTTTTAGTGTGTTTTGGTTTTTGGGAGGGTTTCGGTTTTTTGTTTGTTTAAATTAATTGAATTACTTTTTCTCTGAAATTCTAATATTTGTTTCCTCGCATGTGTGCTTTGCAGGGGATGGAGGGTGTCTGGCTTTTAAACACCGCTCTGTTTTTTTTGTACATAGTGCGCACTCCTGAAGTCTTTCAAATGCATTGGAAAGTTTATACGAAATAGACGTTGTACAAGTAAAATGCAAGTTTACCTTTCAGAGGTTCAACTCTAAAAACTGTGAAAGAAAGCTTTGAATCTTTAGGAACTTTATTTTTGTTAATTACGGTGACTTCTGAGGTAATATATATTTATGTTAATTCCTTTTTTTTAGAAATGAAAAAGCCAGCCTTGAGATAATCGTTAGTATTAAACAGATGACCATGAAATTGAACTGTAGGAAATTAAGTATTTCAGAGCCTATAACTCTGAGCTGGTTGAATAGGTGATTTGTTTAATCCCTTTCTTAGCAGAGTTGAAAAGAATAAATTAGAGAAGGAAGCATGGAAATCTAATTTGGTGAAGTCAGTTGACTTTGATAATACAACTGAGTACATTGCATAATAATGAGCAGACCATTCCCACCTTCTGCCTTGAAGTTCTCCCATATTTTCTTACGGGTAAATGAGTTACGTGCTGAGCAGATGTCTCACTACCCGAGTGGGTTATGATAAGGTCAGCTGGCCCAATTCGATCTGCTTCAGGGAGCCATTAGCTAACAACTTTACTTTCTGAAAAAAGTGTGTTTTCTTGTAATAAGTGTCATGTTTCTAGTATAGTTAAATTTAGATGTAACTATTAAGTTCTGCCATTCGTGTTAACAAGGAACATGGGAGAAAATGGGATGTGTAACTCTCCCATAACACTTAACTGGAAGTGTGACAGAAGAGTGTGTCCAAGTGGTCAGTAGAAAATGGACTGTATGACACGCATGAAAAAATTGTGATAAGAGACGGCATTGCTGTAATAAAAGGGTTAATGTTTGTTGGAACCCCCTATAACTTGGATGAGCACATGGCACTCGCATCCGTAGAGCCTGTGTGTTAGGCTACACGTACACTTGTGTCAAAGAAACGGGAGAGAACGGAGGAAAGTTGCAGTCAGGGTAGTCAGTAACTACAGTTGTCAGCAGCCTAGCTAACATGGAAGTGAAGAGTGCATTTTGTGTTTCTCTAAGCTGTCATGAAGTAATTGCAACAAGAGAGCAAAACCAAAAGCTTTTCAGTGTTCCAGTTCTTGATACTTTAAAAACGTTGTGTTAAATGGCTTGATGAACCTAATTTCAGAGCTCATTTGCTTATTGTAGTGCCTTCTGTGTTCCTGTAATTACATATGGTAATATCTTGCAAAGCCTCCTTTCTGTTTTTAAGTGTAGAATTGCAAGCTGCATTTGAAATTCATACCTTATCGCTAAATCTTGTGACTATTGAAAATGCTATTTCTGTCGTGAGTGTTAACAGACTCTGAAGAGCTGCACTTACGGCTTCAACGAGCAGGGCACCAGGTCTTGGTTTTCCCAATACTATGTTGTTTTGTCTAATGTCTAGCTATCAATTTAATATTTATTAAGAGCAATTGCTTCTTGAATGACAATGTGAATACAGGGCTGATAAAGCTTAGCAATTACTTTGGTTGTGAAGCCCTAAAAGAACAATTTTGTCCTCTGCCCTTGTCATTAAGGATGAAAGGTGTTTTGCCGTGTTGGGACCTCTCCCTTAATGACGCTGTATCGACTGCTGTGCGTGGGATTCTTCAGACATTCCCCACACTGGAAGACTGCATGACTTCTGAAAAACTGTCGTGCAGTTGCTGGTTACTTTCTTGTTGAAATAAATACAATAAATACTCTTGTGTTTTAAACTATAAAGGTGTGGAATGATCAGTTTGCTTGCAGTGCGTTCAGTAGTGAGGTTAAAAACAAATCCAGCATTTTCTCAAGTCCGTTTTCATCCAGACAGAAACTAATCCACACGTTTTGTCTGATGACTTCCCACAGAGTGGAGAATGCCTGCACCAAACTTGTTCAGGCGGCCCAGATGCTGCAGGCAGATCCTTATTCGGTACCAGCTCGTGACTACCTGATTGATGGATCCAGAGGCATCCTTTCTGGAACGTCAGACTTACTTCTGACATTTGATGAAGCAGAGGTAGGAATGCCAACATGACTGACATAGGTATCTGCACAAGAGTGTTATTAATTCAAGTATCCACCTGAATTAGCTAATATATACTATTGACTAGATGAATGTGGTTTTGATCGTTTTAGCTTGATTGGAAGCATGTTTTGCATCCCTTTCTGTCAGAAGGAGCTTAGGCTTGTTGCTCAGTGTTGTTAGGAGCATCTTTGGATGATGTAATGTTTAGGCGTTGCCTGTGATTATTCCTCAGAAAGGCCAGATCCCATCAACCCTGACGACTTACATCTTCCTGATGCTTTTCTGTGTTCCCTTCACCATGCCCATTACAGATCCTTGTAGTCTCTGTATCCCTTCACTGAAAAGCCCTGGGGCACTTCCTAATATGTCTGTCTGACTCATTAGCAGTGGTAATTTAATTGCCTTGGGCACAGGAGGTAATACAAATCTGGACTGGCTGGCTGGTCAGCCAGGAGATGTGTTCTGATAGATGTAACAGTTGCTACGTTTTGGCGGCTGCACAAGCCAAACAGTGGCTGAGAGATGCTGTTTGTCCACCCTCAGATGGATAAAAAGGCCAGAGTTACAAGGAAACTTAAAAAGGAGGGTTTGAGTGTCTTGTATTTGAAAATGTTTCTTTGTTACAAATCTTTCTTACACTTGTGATCCTCCTCCTGGGAATGTGGAGTCTTGCTCGTTTCTGAGTAGCGCATACCATGCTACTGTGAGGAAATGAAGCTCACGCTGTTAGAAATGCTGGTGTTAATTCTAAATTCTACCCGTGCAACAATCTGTTAATCTATGAAATTGTGTTACTCTTCCTGCTGTTGCGAGTAGTCCAACACGACATCCTTGTGTCTCGTTTAATCAGCTCATGGTACGGTTAGCACGTTCCTCTGAAATCAGGGGGATGCTGTGGGATTTCTCTGTGGCACTTGTGATTACACATAATAAGCGGGTTTTAATAGATACTGCCAAGTGTTATAGGACAGAACTGCAAGGAAATTATAATAGCTTTTAATCTCCCTCCTTCCAGTGTTTAGAAATGAGTTGACTTCTGTGGATCTAATGCTTTATTCAACTAGTCTCTGACAACTGCATGTTAACCAAAAGAAAAAGATTAGTCTGGAATGACTGACTTTTCATATATACAAAACTTGGCAAGTCTCTACCCTGCTGTGTTTGAAGATAAACTCACATTGGGACAAAACTGAAATGACCTTTAGAGGAAATGATGACCTGTTCTAGGGACTGAATGCTGCATGTGGTTGATACGAATTAAATGTTAATTAGCTCATTCTTCAATGAGTATTTGGTGTTCTCAGAAATAATGCGGTTCAATAGGTTAGAAGATTAACCGACAGAGAACTCTGTTTTGGATCCAAGTATGAACTGAAAATGTTAAGCTGAGGCAGATGTCTAGAGGTAAATGAAGTACAGTCTTCACAGATCTTTCTGGAAAACGTAAGATATTGGATCTACCTTTCCCACTGGAATGCAGGATAGTGCTTTATCCATCTGTAAAGCTGTATGGTGAATAATATTTCCTCTGAAAGCTTGGAGTCTGCTTTCTATGTGGTTTTGCTTTGTGATTTAAGTTAAGTATATTTTATTGATTAAATTGCAATGAAAAACTTCAAACATGCCACCGTACTTAAAGGCACTTCTTTATAACCTATTTTCTCAGTGCTATCCTTCATTTACCATATAAAGTGAAAACGCTGGAAGTAGGATTTTGCATTGATGATTAGTGGGATGCTGATTAAACATTGTCAATACAACATTCTTCAGTAATGACATTGTGGGTAACTTAATCAGCATCCCAGGCCTTTGTAAGCGCCCATATGTCATGTTAGCAACTGCTGCACCTATTCCATTCTAACAATAGGCTTGCATTTCTAATTCAAATGTAACTTAACGTCCTCTAATAAGTGATGGAATGTTCCTTTTCTAGGTCCGTAAAATCATCCGTGTCTGCAAAGGAATATTGGAATATCTGACTGTGGCGGAAGTAGTAGAGACTATGGAGGATTTGGTGACATACACAAAGAATCTAGGGCCAGGTTTGATTTGCTACAGCATATCATAAACATACTAAGTATAGCCTTTTCTACTACCTTTTTTCCCCCCAGCACCTTCCTCACCCAAGTTTCGAGTGTTTGATGAAGTGAATGATAAAGCAGTTGCTTTGAAAGTGTCTGTTGGAAAGAGTTTTAAACTGGAGAGTGAATGATGACTGTTTTCTGATTCATGTTGTCTCAAGAGCATAGAAGAGTCAAGATGTTGGTAAATGATATGTACTACACAGATCTGTGCTGTACTTTCCTGCACTATATACGAGGGAAGTAAGCATGCATTAATAAGTGTAAAAGAAAGAAATTGAAAAAGCTGTGTACTTAAGCACTCGCAGCTATAAAGCCCATTAAGCTGATAAAATGTCTGTACTAACTGAGATGGTTAGGCCCAGTAGGAATTTCTTGGAGTAGTATAAGCTGAGTGTCATATATTAACATCTTAATAAGGTTGCAGAAATAGCTGTCTGGCAGTACAATACAAAAGCACAGCTGTTAGTGAAACTCTTTTTGTTCATTATTTGATGCTCCTTCACTACATGTTACTTCACCGTGCTAACTCACGCTTCCACTGGTGGAAGTAAGCGATTGGTAAGTGAAGCACTGGGTTGCCGTAGAGGAAACCCACCATTCATCTCTGGCATCTGCTACTCCAAATGCTGGAGTTTCAGCAAGCATTACGGTAGTTTAGGTATTTAACAAAAGCATTCTATAAAATCTAGATGCTGTGGTGGTAATGTAGGAAGATGTTGGAATTAAAGTCTGAACTACAGAATGCTTATATAAACAGAGCGGGAATCTAGTTACTGCTTTGTGTGAGTCAGTAAGAATGTGTGTGTAGTGTGAGAACAGCTCCTCAGTGAAATGACTCGCGGCTTTCATGTCGCAGAGCATGTTTGTAAATTGTCCTGGTTTTATTTAACATGTATATACTTTATCCGGTTTCTAGACGTGAAACACTTTAAGTTCCACAGAGAGGTATAGTGTTCTCTGAACTTATTTTTATGTGCTGTGAGAAGTTACCTTCAACTACATAGATTTCTGCCTCATTTTGAACAGGAAAAGATGAAGCAAAAAGGGCAGTCTTCTCTTGCCATGAAACTTGCTCTTTTACTTGGTATACAGTTCCAGTGTCTCTGTGGTCATTGTCTTCCATGTCTTTAAAATGGAAGTTTGCACAGACTGCAGTTTGCTCTATTTGGCTCAGTCACAAGCGTTTGGGGCTTTTCGTTGACCTCACAGACAAAATCTGGTGTTACATGTGTATGATGGAGGTAATAGATGTTGGGCAAGTGTCTTAATTTCTTCGAAGTGAGATGTAGGCTTCTCCCTTTATTGCAAATAATCTTCTCTAAGCTCATGCTGTGCTGATTGAATAGCCAATCTCGTGCTTCTGGCGTGCTCTAGAAGCATTGTCTTTGCCTGAACTAAGTGCTGCTCAACGCTTACAGCCCATGCCCACAAAACTTCCTACGCCTGCAATCCTTGCTCCCTTCAGCTGTACCAACGGGCATCGAAACTTCACTGTTAGTGTGAGCACTATATAAATAACAGGAATACGAGCATGTACACTTAAAATGAAGAAAGTGCTTGTAGGTTTTGTGTTGGAAGCAGGGAGGAGAACATGAGTAGCTATTTAGGCTTTTGTCATTTGAAAGGAAAGGCGGTTCTGCACAACTGACCCCTCTATGCTGTCAGTGTAGGCGTTCGGCTACTTTTTACTGTTGTAATTAAAACTCATCAGCTTTCTTCCAGTTTTGTTCCCTGGAGGAGAAAAACGAGACAGTGAGACCACAAAAGCAACAATTTAAATCAGCTTAAATTTTTATGAAGCTATGTCTAAAATTTCCACGTGCTGTGTGGTAAACCTCACAAGTCTTAGCTATTGAAAACAGATTTACTCTAGAATAAATTTAATACTTTCCAGACTTCTAGAGCACTGAAATATTTCTAGCAGAACTGAAGTATAAATAGATACAATTCTTGAACTCTGATAGAACCTCAAGACAAACAAACCCCTGATGTTTCCTTTTTCTGCCATTCACAATTAAGGCTTTGATCAAGCCTTAACAGAAAAGGAAAAAAACCCTGTAAATTAGCTTTCAGAGTTCATGAGGTGACTTCATGTCCTAAAGTAGTCATTTTGGGTATTTTCCTATTTTATTACTGGGATTTTAAATCAAGAGTTTTGAGGATTCCATTCTACTTTGCATAGTGGCTAGGTTTTGAATCAGTGGCTTCTCTGAAGGATCTGTAATGTGTTTTAATTAACAGCTGCTAGTACAAAAACTAAGTTTTAAGCTTCAGTATAGTTGTCATAACTCTTTGTTCTGGTTTGGAAAGCTGAAATATTGCAAATTATACTTAATATTACATTTATTTATGACTTTGTTCAATTACTTGAATCTTTAGGAATGACAAAGATGGCCAAAATGATTGATGAGAGACAACAGGAATTAACTCATCAGGAACATAGGGTTATGCTGGTGAACTCCATGAATACCGTGAAGGAGCTATTGCCCGTACTTATTTCAGGTATTTTCAGCTTTAATTTTTAGTATCAGTCTGAATTGCTGTGTGTTTTGAGCTGGAGTTCCAATGTCTTATGTTTATTAAAAATAACAGCCTTGACATTGCTTCTGTAGAGATTGCAAATAACTGTGCTGGTTATATTAAAACTACAATCTCTTTGAGATAAAATGGTCCATGCAAAATGAAATGCACTACCTCCATATTAATGCAATAGGAGGTCACGTTGACACTGATCATACCTTGCATGTACCTTTTTCTAATCTATGGTATTTTCACAGCTATGAAGATTTTTGTAACCACAAAAAATTCTAAAAGCCAGGGAATAGAAGAGGCATTGAAAAATCGCAATTTCACAGTAGAGAAAATGAGTGCCGAGATAAATGAAATAATCCGTGTATTACAACTCACTTCCTGGGATGAAGATGCCTGGGCGAGCAAGGTACGTCTCACACCTACAGTTGTATGTAGAGGTCTGATTTTTGTCTACTGTGTGGGACACTTTATAAACTTGCGGGTTTGAGATGGTGAAATATGTATTTGTGCATCACACTTTGCAATCGCATTGTATAATCTCTTCAAGGTCAAAGAACATCTTCAGAGATAATTGTATTAATGTATCTTTCAAAATTAGCTTTCTCTCAATAAGCTGAGTTAAAGGAGCGTGGCACGTGAAGGTGGCTCAGCAGCTACGTAATTGTATTTGACAGAGGAAAGTTAGGTAAAAAGCAGTTGGTTTCTACATTAAACTGGTCTTGTGGCTAGGGATTTATAAGTGAGATTACTTGAGATTTTTCTCCTAGACACTACTACAAAGGATAGGTTGCTGTCCTATTCCTTGTGAAAAAGGCTTGAAGTTCAGAAGTTTTAGTCAATTTTGGGGGATCCCTCCTTGAACACTTCCTCCTTTTCGTCCGCCCCATTTTTAGTCTGGACGTGGGAGGAAATTTTAAGTGTTTGCCTTGTCTGAAAGAAATATGTGTTAGGTTGAACAGCCTTGCTGGATAAGTATCACGTCTGTGACGCTGGCGTACGGACAGTGTTGGTTCCTTGCAACTCGGTGTGAAGCTGTGTAAGGGACTGCAGCCGCTTACCTGGAGTTAAGTGGTGCTCGTAAGTGATACCCACTGAGGACACTGAAATGTCTAGCAGACCATGAACAGGTCTGACAGACGGGATCGGAAAAGTGTTATTGTGGGCTTACAAATAAATGTAGCTGCGTAACTGAAATTCCTGCCAAGTGTTTTTGGTACCTTGAAGTAAATTGCTGAAGGGATTGTTTTTCTAAGGATCAGTGCTATGAGCAGCAAGTAACTGTAAAGGTATTTAAAGAAAATATTGAGAGCTGAAGCCAGACTGATTAACAAATGAGATCTTGCAGAAAATCTAACATTGATGTAATCTAGGTGTTCAAATCACTGGTCTATATTGTTTGGCACTTGACCCTTAGTTTGCCTTTTGAGTTATTTTGTCACTATCACTTCCTTATGATGACTACTTTATGCATCTTTGTTTTTGTTCTCCTGTTTCTTACCCTTTTCTCACCTTTAGAAGGTAAGCTTTCTTCCAAACCCTACACCTCTACCTTGTACTAAACCCAAAAAAGCATGTACGTGGGAGTTTGTGCTGTGTGCAGACTGTGTGCTGTGCAACCTCTGATTTGTGTGCCAGCTGTGACACCGTACTGATGGACATACACACGGACCTTCTGCAAGGATCCGAACAGCTCTGCCTAGCTACGTGGGGAGTTGGCTGTCACTAAGAGAATGGTAACCACAAGCTGAGCTGCGTTACGACTGATCGGAGTTCGCCCAAGACTTCAGAGCACATTCTTGCTGAATGCTTTTCTGTTAATTTGTGTTACTCGTCTCTGTAGCTGCAAATAACGGGTCCAGTCACAGCAGCAACAAGCTTTCTGCATGCCCAGAAAGCTTTATTAAATCAGGAATTTCGTCCGTTCCATCAGCCTTCCTTCAGTTCAGATGGTCCGTGTTCTTCAGGTCTAGGCCTAAAACTTCACTTTTGGACGTGCGTTTTTTCAATTCCGTTTTATTTTTGGATTTAATCATTCTTGTATCTTACAAAGTAGAACTGCAGTTTTATTCTACACAACAAATTCGGAAATTTTCACGGTAAACAACTGTTGCAGAAGGCTGGCAATTTAGCCTTAGGAAATTCTTGCTTCTCTTGCTAGTGAGGCAGATTAATAAAGGATTTCATTAAGAAAATAGTTGGTGTATTAGCAGTATTTCCAAATGGAAAATATTGGCTGTTATGCATAATGCATAAATATATGGTGTGGCCTAGTAGTATCATTCAAAATATCATTCTGTTCCGAGTTGAGAACTTTTTAATTGTGTTTTGTTTTTTGAATTAAGGTACGCTAATTACTTGGAACCGTAGCAGTGGGCATTAACCAAACAGTTACAACAAAGTATTTGAGTTGAAAAATGCAGTGAGAAGAAGCAGCAGGAAGCAGCTTGCTCACGGCCACGTGTTACAGAGCTTTTGCTGTGTTCGCATAGATATCCAACAGATGACTTAGTCATTACTTTTGTGGGAGGGAGAGGGAGGAGTTCTTTAATTGTGATTACTGTTGCATGCATTTTCTGCCTGACGGTCAAGGGAAAGATAATTTCCCCATGCTTTTCTGGAGCAAAGTAAGGTGTGTTTGGGGATGCTCAGGCTTGAATTTTCACCTGTGTAGTACATGCTATTGTTGATGTTGGAGCTTATTTTATGGTTTTTATTCTATATTGAGTTGTTTATACATTGAAGTATCACAAAATCTACCTAGAGATAGTGGAGAATGAACACATGTATGGAGCCAGAGCTATAGGCTTCTTTGTAAACTATTTTGATGGTCTTTCTAGACTCTGAAATGCACATTATGGTTACTGGATTGCAATGATCTCTGCTTCCACCAGCATTGGATTTTTAAAATAGTATGCTGATTTAGAATTGAAATACTGAGCAAAGACTGATCTCTGACAAAATCTTGGGAAAAAAAGAAATACCTGTATTTCTTCCATTCCTTCAGTTTCCTTGAACTTTACATTTTACAGAGGAGTTTAGCTTTCTGTTGTATATTCTTAGTGTTTATTTTTAAACAAACTTGAAGAAATACTCAGTTTAAACGTCTTGCATTTCCATAAAAATGAAGGGAGTTAAAAGCTGTAGGAAGCCGAGAAGCATCTGGTGTCTCGCAGGGTCGAACCCTGGATGGTGACTAAGCTATCTGTTCTGCCAGAAGGCTGGCTTTGCCCATTTCCTTCAACATGCCCTTCTTTGGTCATGAAATGCAGATATCACTAGACCAGACCACTTCATTGAGTCAGAGGTGGTGCTTTATGGTCAGCAAGTGATCGTGCAGGATTTATTTTGCTGCTTTTCAAAGCAGTGCCAATACCACCTGCTCCATGAATAATCTCAGAATTCTTGGTAGTGGCCGAAGTGATGCATAAAGGTGTCTTGAACAAGCGCTCGTTTGCTTTACGAACTGATTTGCAAAAAGCCAACGTGCTCTTTTCCCTGCAGACAATGTTGCCCTCATTGTTTAACTTGATTAATTTGTGTATCTCTTCTGAAAAGAGATTGCTTTTGTTAATGAGATTCCATTTGACAGCAGGGGAACTGTGGGGAGAGGAGGGAAAGAATCCTTTTTTTGCTGATAAAACTACTCTATGTGAAACTTTTTTGCAGGAGAGCTGTAGGATTTTTTTTCTTTTATTTCTTGCATATTCTGCTGCAAAACCCAAACAGTAAAATGTTAAACATATTTAGCTGTTTGAAAGGGAACAAGGCATTTTTTGGAAGGGAACAAGGCATTTAAACAGCTCCGGAAACTGGGAATATCAAGACACTTCCAAGAAGTAAGACCTCAAGCAAATTGTTTTGTTTTGTTTAAATTGAGTATTTCTGCTTCTGTTGTCTTGCTTAATAGCCTGAATAGGCGGGTAAGTCCAGACACTTCAGGATTGCTACACGTTTGGTGCTTGCCAAGTGTCCGACACGAGACACGGCTGTGGCAGAAACAGAAGTTCAGCACCAACGAACCTAGTTAAGGATGTGTTCTAATTTCCTATTTAAAAATTACTGCAATGAAAACTCCTTATGAGGCTAAAGCTGAGAGGGTTTCCTTGCTGTGGCAGTTTGAGCTGTGAAGAAGGGAAATTTGCACTTCGAGAGCAGTTGTCCTGGAACACTTCGACTGCTACACTAGGATTTCACCAGATTTTTTTTAAATAATTTTTTTAAATAGGAAAGGGACAGTGTTTTGCAAACATGAGTGCAGAGCAAGATTTACACGGCAGAGCAGTCCCGTTATATCGCCTTCATGGGACAGGACAGATGGGCCCTGCTATTGCTTGGGCAGTGCTAGCAATTACAAAATGATGAGTGTAAAAGCTGCAATGCCCTTGATTTTTTCCCCTGATAATAAGACTTTCGATTCAGGGCCTTATATATAATTTTGCTGAAACTGCGAGACTGCAGGCAGCTGAGACAACGCAAAAGCCTGTGTTAGTACAAAGGGAGGGGCAAAGACAGTTTGCCCAACTCTCCTTTCCTCTGCCACCCCACACCTATCAGCACACCAAGTGACATCTGTTGCCCTTCTAAAAATTCAGTTCTTTGTTTCAAATTATTTACGGGTAGACAGGCCTGCAGTAGACCGTTCTTTCCAAACTAAAGTAGCTTCAGCCCATATATAAACCAACAGAAAACCGTAACACCCACCTTCACAGCTAGTAAGGTTTTTATATACATTTGAATACTTATATGAGTGTTTACTTCTCTTGTATATTAAACGCATAATTCTCAAGCTATAGAGAAGGTGAAGAATGTGCCTGCCCCCATCCCTAGCTGCATATCCTGCCCTTTTGAAGTTTTTTTTCCGAACAGGTCCTGACCTAAGCTCTGAGGCTCGGTTTCTAGATTTGAGAACCAGCTTTCCAGGTGAAAATGATTCTGCTTTTGGTGCGTGCTCTCGGGCTGTGATTCAAGAGCCCTGAAAGTATCCAGCGGAGCATCGCGTGACCTTTTAGAAAGTTGGTTGTTGAATTATGTTATAGCATCTTATGAATAGCTGACAGAGCAACATGCCTCAATAAAACTGGCTTAAATGCCAATATGTTTACAGTGAGGTATCTTTGCGACTAAGCATGCGGAATAAACAACTCCACAGAAACGCGGCAGTTCTTCAGCATTGTTAGGATATCGCGTGCCGTAGCAGACACTGATGGCTGATGCTGGTAGGCTCCTTTTCACCGGAGCCGGACATGGACAGTCCAATCCACTTAACAGCGCGAGAGCCAGGCTTCTTTTCATCAACTGTATGCTAATCATGGGATGTTAGATGCATTTCGAATTATTTCCATGACATGTGTGGTAAAAAGCTGTTTTGGCTTTTCCCCAACTTTTTACTTAAGGTACTTGTTACTCTTTTTACTCTTTCCATTTGTGTAAGATAGAATACTTCTGGCCTCTAGTGGAGAGGCAACACATGAACAATTAACAGAGCATGCAGAGAAATGAGAACCGGATGGCTTTACCTCCTTTAGACAAAGAGCTGTTGGATAATAGCAGCATGATAGTCAAAGCAGCAGCTTCTCTGATGCTCCTGGCAGAGAAGTTCTGAGTTTAAAACAACCACATGGGAATACACGTGTTTAAGTCTCTCAAGACATTAAACTGCGTATCTGAGAATCCCAGGAATTAGCCGGCAGTCTGTTTTTCTGCAAAGAGCAGCTGTTTGACTTTAAGCAGCGGAGCAGGTGAAGAATGTTGATATACAGCCCCTTACACAGAAGTAAGTAGTAAAAGTCACTGGCTGACTTCCATCTTTGAAAGGTTGACTCCAATCTCATTGTTACAACTTCTCTGTGTGCCCTGATGTACATTAAGGAAAAAAATGGAACTAACTCCAGATGTGTGCTTATTAGAGCTCTGACTTTAGAAATTAAAACAGTAGTAAATAAGGAAATAGAAAAATCACTAAACTTGCATGCATATTTTCTGCATTTTGAATGAAATGAAATTGTCTGTCTTAATTGGAAAGAAGTGAATATGACCTGCTATAGTTTGAAAATGGGTTTTGAGCCACTTCTATGGGTGCGTTTCTATAAGTAGACTGCTTTATGAAACTTCTGTCTGCTTTGGCTGAATGGGTTATTTGTCCTTTGGTTTTTTTGAGAGTCATTTTGGTGGTTTCTCTTTTGTAAAGGACACCGAAGCCATGAAAAGAGCTTTAGCCTTAATCGATTCAAAGATGAACCAGGCAAAAGGTTGGCTGAGAGATCCAAACGCACCTCCAGGTAATATTTACAAGAAAAAAAACAACACAAAGTATTTTGATTTTTAAAGGTCTGATTCTGTTGCGTAAGACAAAATTGCCATTAAGCATTACTTACCTATACATAGTGGATCATTCTGAAGAAGCCTGTAATTATTCCTTTCTTTAAATACTGGGGATTGAACAAGTTGTGTCTAATGACCTGGAAAGCTTTTCTTCATTCAAGTTGTCCAAATAATGTACTCTGTATAGCATACATGTTTTTTCTGTGAATTCCACTAGTAAAAACAAAACCCTGTAAGTTGCATTGAATGGTATTTAACTGCAGTGGTTGCTAGTACTTAAAATCCTTCCTTCTGTATCTTCAAATTTGTATAACTTTAGATTTTTCTAACAGCAATTTCTTTAACCGTTTTTCTTTCAGTCTTGATATAAAATCTTTAATCTGTAGAGCTGCCATAAATACTGTAACTACAGTCTCCATGACTTGCATAAAGGTTTTGCCTTTGTATGCATCGTTAAAGCAAATAAAGCCAGATAGAGGCCTGTTCCCTTTGGACTTTGAAAGACCTTATCTAAAAGACTTCCTCTGAAATTAAAGCCCAAATAATACAGATGTAAAAGTTGGAAGTGAGTTGTTATGTGTTCAGCTGCTGCTTAGACGGCTTCGGACCTCATTCCCCTTGCCACACTCAGTTCCAGAAATCTCAAAGTTATTGTGGAAGCCTTCTATCATTGACATTGACAGTTAATGAAATAAACTATGAAATGATAAACATAAAGGCTGTTTCAGAAACACTCTTCCATTATAGCTACCACATTTGGTGTGTATCTCATAGTTTTGATAAATGTATCTTCAGGTCTGAACCTAATGCAGTGAATGTGGTGGGACGTGATGAGACCTAGCAGTTTACTCAGACGTCAGGGAACGTCTTGTTTGTTTTACTAACCGACTCTGCACCTTAGGGGATGCTGGTGAGCAAGCAATAAGGCAGATCCTTGACGAAGCTGGAAAAGCAGGAGAACTGTGTGCAGGCAAAGAGCGCAGAGAGATTCTGGGAACCTGCAAAACGCTGGGCCAGATGACTGATCAACTGGCTGACCTCCGAGCTAGGTAAACCTGCTGCTTTTAATGGGTAATTTTCCAGTACTATTAAAACTGTTTTTCTGAACTTGCAGTTGTGTTGCTTCCGAATCTGTGGGAGAGCGGGCCAGTAGCTCTGTTTTGCCTTTTTTACTTCAATCTCTTCTGATAAGAATGCTTCAACATGTGAAGTCTTAATTATACAACGTGATGAGCAAAATCGCTCTGGTAGATAATTGAGAGTGTGTTTCATGTCAAACACACAACTTTCCTCCAAACTAGGCAGAAATAAAATTTTAAACTCTGCTCTTAAGTCTACTCATCTACTCTTCAACGAGGATATACTCCACTGACTGTAAGACACACGAGTATTCTAGTTTTTAGGTGTTTATTGGGATGTTAATCACAAGCAGGAGTTGTTGGAGTTGTTTGAGTCACGGACAAATTCTGCTGAATTTCCTGTGTGTTTCTTCCACAGAGTTTTATTTAGCCAGAGCCCTTTAGGAGTTTTCTGCCTCCTCATTAGAAAGTGGTGGTTCTTTCACAATGGTGTTTTGAAATTTAAGGGGTTTTGGTTTTAGGCAACAGATGAGTCTCTTTAAACTGACTGTATTTTTTTGATATTAGGCACTATGGCCTTTTGTTCTTTTGCCAGAGAGACGGAAATACGATGTTCCTTGGTGAAGGCATAAAGATGATGAGCTAAGAAATAACTCTTCCATGCAGTTTGAACGTTATAACCCAGTTTCCTCTGAGTAAAGGAATTTTTCAGCTGCTTATCAATGTAGTCATGAAGCTGGAGTGCTCTAACATTGGTTCCTTTATTTTGGTGTGATACTCCTCTCCACCCCCCAAAAGTACCCCACCGGTAAACCCCAGAAAGCTATTCATTGTGATTCATTAGGGGTACAGGTGGTGGTTTCATCGTATAATATTTTCCCCTAAATGCTAATGTGTCTTTCAAATTGTCAGAAAAAGCAATACAAGTTAGTTTTTTATTTAAAAAAAGAAAAAAAAAAAGCTTTTAGGCAAAAGTGGTGCCTCTTCTGACTTAAGGCCCTAGTGAAGTGCAGGAAGTGAGCAAATGCAAATTACCTGGAGAAGTGTGCTTTGGGTTACCTCGAGAACAAATTCCCTGCCATCACTTTAAATCCAAAGACTGCCAGGCTCTGAAGCATTGCGATGATCCATGCACAACCTTGGAATGGGTCTGTAACATATTTCCATGAAGAGTTGTTAGTTTGCTATACAAAGCCAAAAAGGCCAAAATTCAGAAATGCTGGCTGTCTTGTCGTTAAAGAAGTGATGTGTTTTAGCTGTACTAGTGGTAGTGGCTGAGCAGCAGGTTTTGGTTTGTCTTCACTTGGATTTCCAGCTGATTGACCCAAAAGAATGTCAGAGCTCCTCTCTACCAGTTCTTGAACAGGGCGTTAGAAATCAAGCTGAACTCTCACTCTTCTTGTAACGCAGTGGCTGGTGTCAGCTTTGTATTGTGCAAAACCTTTTGAGGTGGAGGAAGAGACAGGGCTAAGATTTACTACCAAATGAGTTAATTTACATGCTGTCTTAATATATGAGTAACTTCAACTCAGCCCGTGAGAAATAAGGGATAGAGAGACATATCTTGAGGCTCTGGCCTGACTGTGTAAACACACCTTTGCATCTCAGCAGCATGCTTCTCATCCTTCCACGTACTGGGGTCTTTTCAAAGTTAGTAGTCTGATAAAGTTAACGCGCTCAGAAAGCTTTCCAGTAGTCAGGTTACTTTGGAATGGCGTGTGAGACTTCTTATGCAAAACTAACGCTCTCAGGCTGTGTTTTTTCAAGTGAGCTTTCTGTCTGACTTTTTAACTCCTCAGCACTTGAATAAACAGTGGTGGTGCCGCAAATGGTTTTCTGCAGTCCTGTAAATTTGTATTGCTGACACCCGTTTCACCATGTAAGAAGTCTGACCAACAGCCTATAACCTTTAATCTGCTTTATTAGCACGACTGAGGCAACTAAGAGCTCTTATTTTCACTTACAGACTTGCTGTCCTCACTTAAGCATGGCGAGATGCAGCTCCTGCAGGTTCTGGCTGGCTTGTAGCGATCTATAAATGAGCAGAGAACAGGCTTTGCCCCGGGTACTTTAATGGAACTGTGTCCTCAGATAGCCTTACTCTGACGCTTAAAAAACATTCATTCTTCTGAGGATGCTAAATGTCAAATTCTGGAAAGGGAAAAATATGCTCTTTGTTTGAAACTCTTCTTGTTGTGGTGTTGCTCCTCAGTTGTTTTTGTTTTCTCAGGGGGAAAAAAAAAATCTGATTAAATACTGTATCTCTTGCAGTAATTGCTGGGAATGCTCATGAACGGTTTTTGTTGCCTCTTCATTAGAAAAGAGCTTTGTTCAGTCCTGAGCTGAATCTGTGATGCTCTTTTTGTCTCGGGTAGAGGGCAGGGCGCTACGCCCGTGGCGATGCAGAAGGCACAGCAGGTGAGCCAAGGGCTGGATCTGCTCACGGCCAAAGTGGAGAACGCAGCCCGCAAGCTAGAGGCCATGACGAACTCGAAGCAGGCAATTGCGAAGAAGATTGATGCTGCTCAGGTACCGCCAATGATTTAATAAATGCTTCAGAGCATGATTACGTTACTGCTGTTAGCGCTGTGAGACTGAACTAGTTGTGGCTGTTTCCAAACACAACACAGTTACTCCTTAGGAAGAACATATAGGGGCTACTTGCTTTCACAAAGAAAAATGTTATATTTGGTGATTTACGGAGTGCTGTGAGTTTTGTTACACCTTATGACATTTTTTATGAAAGGTAAAAGGTTATGAAATTAAAATGAGCAAACACCCTAGATCTGGACATAAACTGACCTTACTAAAGAAAAGAGTAGAGGAGTTTCAGACTCCAGAAATTTACCTGTGAGTAAAACCAGAGCCCTTTCCTTGGGCTCTGTTCTGGGAGTGGAGTTCAGGATTTAGAACCTCATATTCGTGATAAGAGGAAAACAGTGTTAATGAAATGACTTTTTCTTTTTTTCTTTTAGTTGTTCTTTTATTTTTGTAACTCTGGATCTCCCTTAATGGCCAGTCTATTACTTGGTGATGATGATGGTCATCAAATAATGAACCTTACGTGAATGTGTGTATGTGTATATAATAATATATATAAATACACATTAATGTTTTATATATATCAAATGAAATTATAATGAGACCTTTTAGGAAGAGCTCTGTAAAGAGTGCCATGCTGTCCATAAGAGCATCTGTTTTCATTTTTTTTTCTGAAGGCCAGATCATGAGTCTCTAAAGCTACTGGTTAAATTTTACTTCTGAAAATACTGTTGGCAAATGTTGGGAAGAGAGAATGTGAAATCTTTGGGTAGATTTCATCTAGTTTGACATCTTTTTCAAAACAGAAAATCTGCCAGACAATAGAACAACTTCGTGGTATCTAATAAACAGAAATCGCTTTTGAAAAGTATTTTCTGTTACATAAAAGTTTTGAAAGCTGTCTTTTTTTTTGAAAGCTGTATTTCTTTTTGTTTAGAAGTCTCTATAGAAATAATATTACTGTTTATCTTCACTCATACACAACTTCTTTCTGTTAAGAATTGGCTTGCGGATCCTAATGGGAGCAGGGAAGGAGAAGAACATATTCGGGGAATTATGGCTGAAGCACGGAAAGTTGCCGAACTGTGTGAGGAGCCTAAAGAAAGAGACGACATCCTTCGCTCCTTGGGGGAAATCTCTGCTTTGACAGCTAAGCTGTCAGATCTGCGACGACAGTACGTATTAGTTTTATCACTTAATTTATTCGAATGACTTTCATTGACAGTTCAAAGTGCTGAGCAAAATCAGAATACTGATGACTGAGGAATATATTTTCCTCCAAGAACTGGGAATGCACATCTTGTACTTCTGAGTTTGCCCTGCATTTAGTAAAAATTAAATGCAAAAAATTGTTCAGTTCCTGGGGGAGGAAAAGCTATCTTTTTAACATCCTTTAAAAAAAATCAATTTATAAAATACAGTGTCCTTTTTAATGCTTCAACCTAATGATTTCTATACCAAAGCCCAACTTGCACTATATGCCTCAAAACCCCCCCCCGAAAACCCAAGAGAGTAACTAGGTTTGTACTACCTAGAAAATACTTACTTTCTGCTGCCTAGGGAATATTTGACAGGCAAACCAAAGCCAAAAGTAAGCTCCTTTGTACTGTGAAAGCACTTCAAAGAAACGAGATAATGTGAACTTCAAGCTTGTTTATATAGACAAGTGTCACCACTGGTTTTTGTGAAGCGGTCTACTACATGGCGAGGTGGAATGTGCCACTTCAATCAGTGTCAGTGTTCTAAGCTGTAACTGCAGACTATATAAAAGATAAGACGTTCAGAAATCATATTTCTGTATCAGTTTTGCAAGGAGGATGCTTGAGAGTGGAAGCGGAGAACCAGTTACCATATAAACGGTGAGCTTCATCTGTGGCCAGCTGCAAGACGGAGACTGCTGTGGTTTAACCTGGCAGCTAGGCACCAGACAGCTGCTCGCTTAACCCCCACCTCCCCATGGGATGGGGAAGGGGGTGGGAAAAAGTAAAAACTCGTGGGCTGAGATAAAGACAGTTCAATAGGAAAGCAGAGGAAGATACTACTAATAATAATGATACAAAACAAGTTATGCACAAATGCATTTGCTCACCACCTGATGAATCACACCAGCCCATCCCAGAGCAGTGATCGCTACCCCTCCAGCCAGTTCCCCCCAGCTTGTGTACTAACCATGACATCATATGGTGTGGAATAGCCCTTTGGGTCAGCTGTCCCAGCTGTGTCCCCTCCCAGCTTCCCATGCGCTGGGCAGCCCAGGCCAGCATGAGCAGCTGAGAAGCCCTTGACTGCCTAGCACCAGCTAAAAACATCATTATGCTGCTAATATTATTCACATCCCGAATGCAAAACACAGCACTACACCAGCTACCAGAGAGAAAATTAACTCTATCCCAGCTAAAACCAGGACAGAGATAAATATTTTTCTTTCTTCATTAATTAGACATTTTAATCAAGTTTTTCTTCAGATTTAGCTGCTGCAGGTCTTAATGTGCTGCTTCTGTTCAAGTTTATACATAGCCTTGGATCTGTTGCTGCTTGCTTTTCTGCTTCTAATCTGTGCGGCTTTAATTGCGCTGGCTCGTAGGACAGTGGTGCATGTGGGAAATCAAAAGTCTTGCGTCAGTACTGTCAGTGACCGTACTGTGCCTTTGCCCACCTCGGTGCTGTGCTGAACATCTGTCATACCCATGCACTGCAGCAGAGAAGCGTGAGGTGGGGATTTTTTAGATGACAGGTCTGCATTATCTGCCCCCAGACTGAAGCATCAAATTTAACTGTATTTAAAAAGATGAAGTACCTTTCATTGTGTTGTTGCTGAGTTTGGGACTAGCTGTAAATGATGTTTATGTGACTATACTTTTTTTTAATCCTTAGCGGGAAAGGTGACTCTCCTGAGGCCCGTGCGTTGGCTAAGCAAATAGCTACATCACTTCAGAATTTACAGTCCAAAACAAACAGGGCTGTAGCAAACACCAGGCCAGTTAAAGCAGCTGTCCATCTGGAGGGCAAGATTGAGCAAGCTCAGCGGTGGATAGACAACCCTACTGTTGCTGACCGGGGAGTAGGTAAGTGTTTCCGTGTGCTCTTCCCCACACAGTCTTATCATTAAACTTGTTTGTAATTTCTGTGACTGAAACTGCTGCTTATGAGAGGCTGAGGATGTGTGGAATCTCCTCATGATTGTGGAGACCTGCAGTTTGTGGCTGGAGGTTTATAACCAAGTCCTGGCTGCAATATCGTCGAATCAAGTTAGCCCGTGATTCTCGTTGACTTCTGGAAAGAACAGCTTTGGCCAAGAACAGGAGAATGTGTGCTATAGAACAGGCAAACTTTAGACTGCTCCTTGCTCTTGTTATCATGCACATGTAATATCTCAAATCTGAATTTATACCTACTCTAGCAAACTGAGTAATTAAGTCCTTCACAGAGGGAGAAAAACACTCATAAACCTGACCTAAAAATATCACTTCTAGTGCGGTTTCTGGGTTAGCTGAGGAGAGTGCTACTGAAGCCAAGAGAGAGGTGAGCTGAGAATCCAAGCATGCTGTCAGCGAGCGTGTAATCGCCGTTCAGGAGGGGCTCTATTGGGAGCCTATTGAAAACCATTTCTGAAATTTCTTGCTTAGCTTCTCCTGATGCTATTGCAAGTAGGTGGATGAAGCTTGAAAACCGGATTCAGTGCTTTTTTTCCATAGCAGTTACGTCTGAGCAGTGCAGTTACATCTGAGCGGTGCAAGTGGTAACGAGGAGTGGAAGTACACCTTACAAGAAGTTGTATCACTGCAAACCTTTACTAGCTCTTTCTCACACCTTTCCCTGTTTGGCAGGATAACTTCTGCTGTATGAATAACCAATGACAGATCCTTCAATTAAAGATTTAATGATGTTGATAGCTTGGACGCTTGCGAAATGCAAATTTCTATGCAAGATTTTAAACAGAATAGTGGAGTTCCGTGTTTTGACACGTTCTGATGGCCAAATCGCACACAGAGTGAGATGGCCAAGAAGGCAGCAGGCAGGTCTTGTGAGATGTTTTGGCAGCGGCTGCAAACCTTCCTGATTTTGATGTTTCTCTTGAACATAGTAACCTGTGAGGTGGTTGGCTCAAAAAAGCACAAAACCTAAACCTATTTTTTATTACTTTGAATAGCAAAGAAACAAAGGTAACTTAAATCCCCCTTGGAGTCTGTAAGTGCCTAGTTCATCATGAGGCTTGCATACATACCAAAAGCTTGCTGAAGGAACTGAAGTTTTTCAGCCCTAGATATATATATATAGTACAGAGTTTAATCAGTCGCTGGAGTAATGCATATGATAGAAATATGATAGAGATGCAAGAGGTTGGAACTTCAATGTTTCTAGTTTAGTCAAAAAACTCTAGTTGGAACATGTCATTGTACAATTTTTTTCATTTAAATGTCTTTCATTTGCATTGGCACTTGGCAGGGTGCTTACAGGAACAGTGCATTAAGAATATAAATCAGGTATGTGCTCTCTTCGGTCTGGACAGCACTGCTGGTAGAATTGTAGCACTGAAAACATCAGGCCAAATAATGTGAAAATACTTCAGTGTTCTCTGCGGCAGTAATGACCACGTCACAAGTAACTGGGTGTTTGCAGTTATCCCACGGTAGTGCTTCCACAAAAACTGAATTTTGATGTAACGAGGCAGAATGTGTATTTTATTGTATAAACACACGAGCAACTTCGGTAGTATTAGCTTCTACAAATATTTACCTGCAGTCGTATTGTGAATTATCCTAGCGAAGTGATGGCTAAAGTAATTCTAATTGGCGGACACAAACTAGGCAAGACATATTGAAGTACCCAACTGGTGTGTGAAGTGTACTTGCTTGGCTGCACTTGACTTACACAAAACAACAATTAGGAAACATCTTGGGACATTCCAACAGCACCACACTTTTTTCTGAAATGATGGTGGAGTGCTGAGTGATTCTTGGATAGTCAGGTCTGGTGACAACCAATTACTTCCAAGTAATTGTGAGCTTGATCATGCACTTGGATTGCTGGTGTGTTAGCATCGGCTTAAAATGATTCTGCAGTAGGTCTTTAAAGGACTTAATATACGATGACTTCTTTGAAAAGAAGAATACTACTGCGTTATTGAAAGCACAGAGGAGCACATTCTTGTGAAAGAACAGGAAGCTTCTGTAAGTGAATGAAGGAAATCACCTACGCTAAAAATAAAATTGTTTTGCAGAAAACCTTTTGACACACTGTGGAGGCTTTGTAAAGTGTTTTGTATGTCCCCCCCCCATCCTGCACACTTGACACTTCCTACCCGTGATTTCTAGAACCCTGGGAGAGGGCATTCTGCTTTTTCACTTATGTTTTCTACTTGGTGTTTCTCCCCCTCTTCCTGCTCATCGTCTAACGACTTGTAGTGATGTGGAGATGAATTGCAGTACTTAGGATTTACAAGTGCTTTCTGTTGGAATCAGCAGATTAGGTAGGTAGGAATACCTGGCAGCTGTAAAGGTTACCTTCTGTCAGACCACCCTAGTTAGAAAGGACGCATCTCTAGCCAGAGTTGCTGCAATAAGCAAAAAGAATCTGGTGAGAGTTGAATCCCTCTGTGGGTTTTGAACTGCCATTACTCAGCGATAGAGTGCAGAAGATCCTCTCCACCACCTAGAAAGGTGTTCTTAAAACCCCAGGAATTCTGAAGTGCCGCTTACTTCACGGTACGTCTGATTCATGCTTTCAGTTTTTTGTTCCACTGCATGTCAATGCCATGTGACTTCTTCCGCCGCAGGCCAGGCAGCGATTCGGGGGCTGGTCGCGGAAGGTCGTCGTTTAGCCAATGTCATGATGGGACCTTATCGTCAAGACCTGCTGGCCAAGTGTGACCGGGTAGACCAGCTGGCCGCTCAGCTGGCCGACCTCGCCGCGAGAGGGGAGGGGGACTCTCCGCAGGCCAGGGCCATTGCTGCTCAGCTGCAGGACTCCCTGAAGGTAAAAACCTGCTCTTGTGCCATGAAACACGGGATATGCCAAAGTATTTGTGCTCCTCTGATAAAGTGCTTGTGTGTGGGAGGCATCAGTCAGAAGTGCAGCAAAAAACCTGTTGGTTTAGCTGAGATGCTTAAACTTCCTGCAAAGGCCTTGATATCATGCTGTGGGGATTAATTCCCAATGAGCTGTTTAGAAGTAAAATCGGAAGTCCCATTTTAAAAGAAAATAGTATGCTGGCTTTGCAAATCTGAGGGTTGAGGTCTCGAGCTGAGCTGTTCGTAACTTCTGATGCCGCTTCAAGGAGCGGTGTGTAAGTTTCTTGTATTTCAAAAGATGTAAAAAGTGGTTCATTGGTCAGGCTTTTAAGATCCTTGTATCTTAATGACTGCCATTGTAATGGGCTTTTTTTTTTTTTCAAGAAGTTTTATGGGATTTGAATCCATACAAACTTAATATTCCTGTATCCTACACTAATAATTGTCCTTTGCTTTAAGGATCTTAAAGCACAGATGCAAGAGGCAATGACCCAGGAGGTTTCCGATGTTTTTAGTGACACCACAACTCCTATTAAACTGTTAGCAGTAGCAGCCACTGCCCCCTCTGATGCTCCCAACAGAGATGAGGCAAGTATACTCAGCGGGTATTTTTCACTTATTGTTTAATTTTAACCTGCATCGGTATATTGAAAGATGAACGAGTATTTTGAAAAACAAATTGGTTGGTTTTTTTTTTCCAAGCTTGTGAATACATGCTTATTAATTCTGACAGCAAAATGATTGCCGTGCAGCTCTCTCTGGGCTCTTCGAGATTGCAAATTGTGCTGTATATTCCTAGAAACTGTATTGTCCCTGACTTCAACAAATGGCAGAGGTTTCTCCCCGCGATGTTCGGGCCCTGCTGCCTTCAGCACGCTACAAATACTTCTACAAAAATCACTGACAGGCTAGTTCGTGGAGGATGTTTCTCAACACTATATAAGCTGACTAAAATAGTCAGATTCACACCAAGACTGATCAACAGATTTAACCTGTTCTCTGGCTGGCTGATGTTTCCTGTACTTCCAAGCTAGCTGCAGATAAAATAGCTAAAACTCTGACAGCTCTGTTTGGCTTGTTAGTTTGAACGTGATCGAAATGATTCCCCAGGCCTTGGGGAATTCAGCTTTATGACAGGAGAGCTTTTTGTCAAAGTATTCTGTGCCTTGGATAACTGAGGACTGTGGAAGGAGGGAGTTTGTTTTCCCATGGGACGCTTCAATTTTTAGGGTAAACCCCCATATTTATCTTCCAAATATAGTTACTTTTGGATTATGGTTTTGAGAGACTAATCTCTATGAGCTAAAACAGTTTTAACGCAGTATTTGTTACAGCAGTAGTCGTCAGGAATTAGTGTACTTACTATCTCAAATCTATGAAGTCTGGTAGTATCCTTTGTTGCCCAAATGAGTTAGTAAAGAAGAAAGTCCAGTAATGTAAAGATTAAAAAAAATAAAACAGCCTTTTTGTGTCTTCTTACACCTTTCAGGAGACAAATTAAGTTTGGATCTTCTGAAGGTGTCTATGGCATCTGACACTTTGAAGAAATTGTGTAATATATTAGAAAGTTAGGCTTTGTTAATGGTGCTTCTCTTCTGACAACTAGGTGTTTGATGAAAGAGCAGCAAACTTTGAAAACCACGCTGCTCGACTGGGAGCTACAGCAGAAAAAGCAGCAGCAGTTGGAACTGCGAATAAAACCACTGTGGAGGGCATTCAGGCAACGGTGAAGTCAGCGAGGGAGCTCACTCCGCAGGTTTGCTTCCGCGGCCTCGAGGGCTCCGAGAAGGGCTGGGACGGCTGCTGCGGAGTTGCTTTAGGCTTCTGTTCTCAGAGGAAGGTGTTAACACCAGCAACAAACGTAGTGCTGACGCCCCTACAAGGGGAATGGCAAATGTTTGTGCGCATGATACCAAGTAGAACAAACAGATTGACGTGTCTTACTCTTCATCTTTTGGGCAGAAGTGTTGGTGACTTGTCCTTGAAACAAAATTACTTCCCGGCTTAGTAAAATTTGTACGTGTAAAACATGCTCTTTAATGATCTTTTCTTCCATCTAAAATTTTGGTAGTGTGATAAGTATTGTACTTTAGTGCTTTCAAGAAGTGTGTTTAGGATATATTAGCATGTAATTAAAGTTCCAGGAGAAAAAGTATTCGTGTGAACAAATTCCAGAAGCATTGTAGGCCTTCAAGCAGCTAGATGTTGAACGAGAGTTAGTGAACTGGTATTCCAAATGAGGAGCTACACATCCAGTCCCGGAAAGACAGATGCATTTTCAAGAATGTGTGATGCCATGTTATACTGATACTTCCACAATTAAAAATGTTTTCCATTGGCAGGTAGTATCAGCTGCTCGTATCCTCCTGAGAAATCCTGGAAATCAAGCTGCTTATGAACATTTTGAGACCATGAAAAACCAATGGATTGACAATGTAGAAAAAATGACAGGTAAAGTAGGGATTTTTGCTGAAGATTGTACTAGTGGCTAAGTAGCTGGTATAGATTTTTCCCCCATTCTGTTTGGATTGGTGAAGCATGCATAAGAGGAATGACTGATTAAAAATAAATTCAGAGAAGTGGGAATGTGCTCTCTGGCTCCAGAAATAAGTATATGTTACAGCATAATCAAAATAGCTTGCTTCATATGTGATAATTCTGAGCTGCAGGGGAGCAAATTCAACTTCAGTTCTTCTGTGGGAAAACCAGAATACCATTGCTGGTAATTGCAGTTGCTATCCTAGCAGGATATCACTGTTGCAACTTGCGGTGTTTTCCTGCATAGTCGTGGCATGTTGAATGCAGAGAGATTTAAGTGGGGGTAAGAAAACATGCAAAAATGATGTAACAGCGTGATGAAAGCTGTGAGTAAAACAAAGCTGCTGATCTACTGGATCTGGCTGAGACACTTCAGTGTTTCAGTCCTTCCAAAGTGCAGATCCTTTGCGCTGGTCTGCTCATCTCCTGACTGTATGCTACCTCCTTCTCCATCCCCGTAATTAAATTGTGGGTGTTTTAAATCTTACTGCCTTGTCACTGTACATCAGCCTTATGTAAAACCACAGCCAGAGGGATATTTCCTTTTGAATGAGTGGGAGAGGTACAGAAAGTACTGAACATGTTTAAAAGAAATTCGGCAGGAGGAAGGAATCTCTGCTGCGTGTACTGTGTAAGCCAGTTGTTGACTTGGGCAACATTCCATGGTAGATCAGGAAGAGCTTGGGATGTCATTAGTGGGAGCAAGCTTGACCACGGTTATTGTGCTGGAGGTGCTACGTAATCAGAAGTAAAACTGCAGTAATGCGTTTGGTCTGATTTCCATGCTCCCTTCCGCCCCTCCCCACGCCCTGGTTTGGAAATACGTACTTTTCTGGTTGTGAACAGTCTCTGGAATGCCAAATATTGCTTTCCACAGATGAAACTAGAATATGAATGTGTTTAACTTTTATTAAGATCTTGATAAATGTAAAGTTGCGATGGCCAACATGCAACCTCAGATGCTGGTCGCTGGTGCCACCAGCATTGCTAGGCGAGCAAACCGCATCCTGCTGGTAGCAAAACGGGAGGTGGAGAATTCAGAAGACCCTAAATTCCGGGAGGCTGTTAAAGCAGCCTCTGACGAGCTAAGCAAAACCATATCCCCGATGGTAATGGATGCTAAAGCTGTGGCAGGAAACATTTCTGATCCTGGTAAGGATTCAGTCGGCTGATTGCAAAAGTATTTTTTACTGGCTGAAGATGGTGTGCAGCAGTGCTCATTTGGTCTTGTACAGCTGTGTGTCCCCTTTTTAGGCACGTTTTGTGTACACTTAAATCCTGGAGTGATGAAATCAAGGGCACACCACTAACTGCTGAATCCCGCTCTTTAAAAATGCGATCAAAGACCTTTGGCGTATTCAAGGGAAAAGGATTCAGCATTCTAGTTTATGTGATTTTGTAATCTTTGTTACAAAGTATTTGTTACTGGTTATCAGCAGTACTACTTTATATAAGCAAATATTACATAATTTATTTTATTCTGAAAGTTGTTTGGGGAATTACTTTGGCTATTGGTGGCGATTTACTCAGCCTGTAACACCAACGCTTCACACATGTAAAGTTTGGTAAGTTTTAAACATCTTGTTTTCACAGATATAAGTGTGCTCAGCACAGTACGTTAGAGAAGTAACTTTCTGATGTAGTGTTGCAGTTCTGAATATTACAGAATGCTCTTAAACTGGTAATGGGATTTTTGTTCAGGTTTGCAGAAGAGTTTCTTGGACTCTGGGTACAGAATTCTGGGAGCTGTGGCCAAAGTCAGAGAAGCCTTCCAGCCCCAGGAACCAGATTTTCCCCCTCCTCCTCCTGACCTTGAGCAGCTTCATGTAAGTGCAGCATAGTTTGTAATACAATACACCCTTGTCACGGGTGACGTGTGGATTGCACACTGAAATTACTTCAGTATATTTTTATTCCCTAGAAATAAAATGCGTTCTCTGGCAGCCATGCATACAAAGTAGCCTTAAGTGTAAAAAAACACCAATCCAGCTTTCAAAAGAGGAGATTAAAACACGGTATTTCCTTTAACAGGTGCACTTGAAAAGCTGGAAAAAGGCGTGAGCTCATGCGATTGTGTCTTGCCATGACCCCATCCTTTACTCAACCCGTGTACTGTTTCCTTGCACTGAATCAGATTTTTGCCTTTCTTAGTTGACTGATGAACTCGCTCCTCCAAAACCGCCCCTTCCAGAAGGTGAGGTTCCCCCACCCAGACCACCACCACCTGAGGAAAAGGATGAAGAGTTCCCAGAGCAGAAAGCAGGAGAAGCCATTAATCAGCCCATGATGATGGCTGCTAGGCAGTTGCATGATGAAGCCCGGAAATGGTCTAGCAAGGTAAGGAGCTGTTTTATGCATCTTGTGCTAAAAGGAGTATTTATTTAAGGATCAGTGTGTTTGGTTCGAAGTCAGCTGTCTCAAAGACAGAGAAAGGCTTTTATAGACCAGAGAGTAAAAACGCTGCTGTAGGAGGAATTTAGAAACCCTTTCAAGTTCAGAGTGAACTAGGGTCAACTGTTGTGATACTCAGAATTGCTAGAATGCTTTATTAACATACCCGTGTGAACACAAACGTGCCTTGTATGCTAAGCTGTTGGTGATCCTTGATGCTGGTATGGCCTAGAGAGCCACTGATACTTATGCCTTTCTGGGCTGACAAGCTGTCTGCTATATTTAAGTGCCTTTGAAAAGTCTGGATGGGTGTTGCAGATGCCAGCTGCAGGCATCGTGAGCTGGTTTGTCTTAATTCTGGGAGGAGATGCAAGTTCCTTTGCAGTTAATCCGCTGCAGCTATGATCGGAAAAGTAGCCATATATAGATGGCCCGGTCTCATTCCTTTTTGTCGCGAGTCACACTCGCTGTCAAGGTCAAAAATCCTTCATTTCCTTATGATTTCAGTGCTATGACAAAGCAGGGTGAACTCGTCAGTCTTATAAATGCTAATGGCACTTTTTTGCTTTCGCTTTTTCTTTTTTCCCTGAAGAGCGACGTTTTTTTTTTTCTCTGGCAGCAGCTCAGAACTTCTTCAGATGCAGTCTTCTGCAGGTATAAATTAAAGATCAGAATTTGGCTTTTAAAATCTCCACCTTTTTTCTCCACCAAATTAGATGGTGAATGAGAAAGTACACTTGAATAGCATACAGAATCAACCTGAGTGCTTTGTGCTTAAGGAACATGTGTTTTGGAAGTACTGATAAAATACAAGTGAAGTCCTGCAAAGCTATTTGAGTGTCTCTTCCATAAACTTAAAAGCTCTGTTCCCCCCATACTAATGGCTATACCCAACACATATTTATATTACCTAAAGGATAGTACTGGAATGGATTAGTCATCTCTGAAAGCAGTTTTGAGGCCAGAAGCCTTAATTTCAGCTTCCTAAAAGCGTTTTGATGTTTGAATCCCAAAATGGATACCTTACCAATACACTGTAGGTAAAAAAATGCTTTTACTATATACATACTACTCTATAAGTTCTAAATTGGGTAGTGCAACTCTTAAAATATTTATCAAAGCCAAGCAGCAGACCTTAAAACTCCTTGCTGGTTATGAAAGAGCTCTAATTTTAGCGTCTTTAGGCTATAAAACACTGTTTTCATTGCTGTTCCTTTAATTTGAGACCACCAAAGCAGCAAGTTGGCCTAGCATTTGTTCTTCTCATTCTTTTTTAGCAGTCCCATTGTAGCAATAAGCTATTCTGACAGTTTATTTTGGGGGAAGAAGGTTTAAAAACCTTTGTGTAGTCTCTGAAAGCTAAGCTCTGCTTTAGCTTTCCCTGCCTTTCCCTCTCATTTGGATAGATTGGAGAATGAGGGATATTTGGAAACTTTTCATTAGCTTAAGACTTGAACAGAAGTTGTCTTTGAAGACGAGTTGATGTGGCAGTATACAAAAGTTTCAACTTCCTTCCGAAACTTCTGTGTGTTTTTGTGGGTGTAGATGTTTTTTGCTATAAAAGGCCGTATCTTAAGCAAAACATAGTTGAAAATGCATAGTTTTTGGTAAGGGTAGTTTGACATTTATCACACTTTGCTTTAGTCAAAGAAATACAGTTAGGAAACTTGCAGAATATTTTTGTATTGAAATGCTGCTGTATTAAATGCCTGTATTGTTACGTTGGTATACCACTTACCTTTTCCTTGTGATCTACCCTAGCACAATGTATTTGCTTGAATCCTTTTTTTTTTATTCTTTTTAAGGTAATGGATACAACATACGGTGGCAAAACTGTATCATATGCTTCATTATCCTCTTGTTCTACTAATTCTGTTTCAGTCTGTTTTAAGAACTGTAATAGTCGCAGCATTCATAACATTCGGTATCACCTCCTCTTTCCATAACCCGGTTTTGTTCTTTTTCATGTTATCTGCGGTACTTCAATACTCTCTTCTACAGTGTCTCCCGTCCCACCTTTATTTTTTTTTATTTCACTCTGCAGCAAGCAGTGTCAGTGGTTTTTCTGTGATCCTGCTGCTCTCTCTTCCCATCACATATATGTGAACGGGCTTCCATGCAAAGCTTTCTGTCTGCGCAAATACCGGTCATCACCTGCTCTGCCTGCTTCCATGTGGTCAAAAGAGCGTTCATTGAAACAGAAAATCCATTCATTTCACCCTTGTCTTGCCAGAAAAATGTTGGTCTGCAAGTCAGCCTCTGTCCGTAGCAGCTGTACGCTGAGATGAACAATGTCGCTGCATCTTTGAATTGTAACTTCTTGATATTTGTGGTAACTTTTGGTTCACAGGTGAAATGTTTGTTTCCTTCTGCTGATCTTGTGTTCCTTCCCCTCCTCTCTCTGACCTGAGCCTGGAGCTGCCTTGTCAGATCTGGAGAGACCAAGAAGATGTTTTGGTCGCTCAGACAGCTCAGTTCATGCTCTTCTACCAAATTCTGCTTCTTGTACTAACTGTCCCCTGTTTCTCCACCCTTGCTGCCACCTGCAAAGCCTGATGTGACTGTGATTAATGAAGCGGCTGAGGCTGGTGTAGATATAGATGTGGAGGATGATGCAGATGTTGAATTCACTCTCCCCTCTGACATTGAAGATGATTACGAGCCTGAGCTGCTGTTAATGCCAACCAATCAGCCTGTTAACCAGCCCATGCTGGCCGCTGCTCAGTCTCTGCATCGGGAAGCAACCAAGTGGTCTAGTAAGGTACTCCCGATCTCCCCGGGGACTGATCTGTGTGCATCCGGCCATTCGGAACGCTGACACATTTGCATCACTCTTGATCCCTGCTGGGCCTCGCCGTTCTGAATGAACAAGCGTGTCTGCACTTCAGAGGACTGAGAGTGGCTTCACGAGTTCGCTAGATCTGTCTGTTGGTGCCGGGTTGAAGCTTGGTTTGGGTCACTTATTAATATTCAAAGGCTTCCTCTCCCTTTGCACCTGCCTGTTCTTCTTTGTTCTGGCAGTTTTCAAATTGCAGTAGGGGTTGTCTTCCCTCCCTCCCTGTTCTTTTTTCCACTCATTTGGGCTACCTGGGAAGCCGCGGTTGATGGTTTCTTAATGACTTCTAGCTACAGCAGAGTATACAGCGTTCAAGAAGTCATTTAACCTGTCTGTTGTGCTTTGCCGCCATTGGTGCCATCCATCCAAATACCTTCCGACAAGGAATGGCTTTGTATGGCAAAAGCGTACCGAAGAGGACTGACTGTCTGCTGGCTTGCACTTGGCTGTATTGCAATTGCTGGTCTTGAGAGAATTCTTGTTACGAAGGAGCCGCACTGAACGCTGGTAGCTGCTGAACTGAGGTTGTGTTTGTGGGAAACCCGTGGTGGTCTAACCCCAGGTTCAGACGCTCATGAGTAGCCTGTCTCTGCTGCCTAAGCACAAACGGTTGCAAGACTGGTCACTATCTGTAGCATGCTGCAAAAACTGAGGTTGGTGTCCCGTAACAAACCAGGGTTAGGGGGGCATGTGTGTATATGTTTGCATAGATAGATATGCTAAGCTATTTTAATAAAAAGGGCTTTCAAAATGTTCTTGTCCTTTTCAGATTCTGATGCTTGGATAACTTGTTAGAGGGCTTCGTAAATGACACTGGTCCTAATTTCTTGATCCTCCTACGTGAAAACACGGAAAAGCTTTGTGTTATGTCATTTGCATCCTAGCTGGTTATATACTAGCAAACTGTTTAGCTGTTAGGTCACGGTAACGAATAGTTCAGCTTTTTGTCGCCTGTATCTGTAAAATATCTGGGACATCTTGAACTTGCTAGCCGTGAGTCGTGGAAGTATGTGCACAGGGACAGAGGATACATTTGCCAAGTCTGGTTCTCGCCATGCACTCTTTGCTCCGAACTTCATCGATCATTAACGGTGGACTCACTCTGCTAGTATTTCATCCACGCTATAGGAATGCTTCGTGGCACCACGTAGTTCACTTTTGTCTAACGACTTTCTACAAAGGCGAATCTCAAGATACTAACGGACTACTAACAATTGATCATCTAGGTCTGCTTTCTCTTGCACTAGGTTTCTCTCTGGAACAGTGTACAAGAGATGGTTTTGCCTTGGTCATACTTAATCCACGTTTCAAACATTTCTCAGAAATATTTCTGTGACTGTAATTTTGATGTACAAGAAATCTGGATTTTAATGTAAGAAATATCACTAGATTATCTTTCGAACTATCATGTTCTCTCCTGGAAGCTTTATTTTAAAGGGGGAGATTTTGTCAAAGAGGAGATTTATTTTCAAGGAATAACTTTTTTTAAAAAAAAGATAATAGCTTAATCTCATTTCCACATTACCTGTGACATAGGTTTTGTGTGTTAGATTCTCTTCCACTTCTCCTTCAGCATTACAGCAGCATAGCTGATGCTTTAACACCTTCAGTTTCAGACACCACTGAATTTTATTCTCAACTGTTACGACTACACTATTTAACTTCAATGGTGCTATTTGGTTTAACAAGCTATTTAGCACACTTTTTTTAAATTTAAAAAGGGCTTTTTTGGGGGAATCTGGAATTTCAAATGCTAATAACATGCTTTACCTTAAAACCTAGCCAGCAGAGCAGTAACTCTCATTCCATGGACAAACTAACACTTTACCACTTCTTTTCCAGTTTTGAAGTGAACTTTTTTTTTCCTGAGTGTTAGGAAGAAAAATGTCAGAAACCTATAATTAGTACAGATCTTCCCTGTTCCTTGAAGAAACCTCTTCTGTGTTCACAAATGGTTCTTCCGTCCTTAACGTCTTGAAGGGGTTGCCACCAAAACGTAGCCTGCCACCCAGTCGTGGCTTTGGTGCAGCGGCTGTCTGGGCGCCGGCACTGACTCACGCTGTTCCCTTCAGGGCAACGACATCATTGCGGCTGCGAAACGAATGGCACTGCTCATGGCCGAGATGTCGCGCCTGGTGAGAGGTGGGAGCGGCAACAAGCGCGCCCTGATTCAGTGCGCGAAGGACATCGCGAAGGCCTCCGATGAAGTCACTCGATTAGCCAAAGAGGTGGCAAAGCAGTGCACTGACAAGCGCATCAGAACAAACCTCCTGCAGGTAACGGGTTAACTCTGTGTGAGGGAGCACAGGTGTTGTGGCAGTAAATCACACGTAAGTCTTCCCTTGGCTTATGAAGTTTGGTCAAGTTCTATGTCTGTTTTTAGGAGCCCACAGCCATATATATTCTGTAAAGTCAGGATTAGCTTGCCTGCGTTGCTTTGTATTTCACCTGCTCGTTCCTTTGTATCACAGAATAGCAGCAGAAGTACAGCACTCCTTAGTTTTTGAGTCTCAGCCAAATATACGTCATCCCATTCCTAACCAAGCAGACCCCTGAGGAGTATCTGGAGGAAAGGAAAAATGTTGGCTCCATCCCAAAAATTCTCATAGCAAGTAAAACAGGATTCAAGTATCCTACCAAGATTTGTCAGATAGTCTTGAAGGTTATAAGATCCACTCTGCGCTTGCTCCTCATCTAACGGTACACCAAAATCAAAAAAACTTATCTGAAAAAACAATAGATACAATGTATTGGTTCAGTTTACAGTGTGAAGTGTTTTTATCCCCATTCCCCAGGTCTGTGAGCGAATCCCAACCATCAGCACACAACTGAAAATTCTCTCCACTGTCAAAGCCACCATGCTGGGCAGAACCAATATCAGCGATGAAGAGTCGGAACAGGTAAGAGGTGTACAAATTGACGGTAGTGTGGAATTGTTGACCAGTTTTATGGGGAAAAATAGACAACGTGTAGTATCAGACATGTTCTAGGAACGCAATGTTTGGAAGCTTACCTCAGCTATTTAGTGAAGATAATTTTAGTGTAGCACCTTGGTTTCTGGCTCAAAAGCTACGGTTTAACAGAGGAACACCAACCCTTCCCAAGCCAAAAAGCTACGCTGGTTCCAGTTTTTATGTCGACAACTTCTTAATCTCCTTGATGTAACGGTAAAAAGCGAGCTACCGCAGGAACTTGGGCTCACAAAGACAGCAGGTTTGAGACGGGAGGAGCAGCAGCACCCTCTGGTGAAGCGTAGTGAAAATAGTTACTCACCAACAACATCCCGAGTCCTTGTCTTGGACTTCTGCTAGCTTCCAAATGCATGTTTTCAGCTGAAACCCTGCAATTTTGGCTTCTGAGATTATTCTACTTGGAGACACTATAAGGTTTAATCCAGATTTTGCGCAAATATACAGTGAGAAATGGGAAAGTCTCGTTTGAGTCAGGATAACACTGAAAACAGTTGTTTCATTTAGTTTTTCATAGTTTAAGTCAGCAGTCATCTGGCTTCATGCTTGCACTGGGAGTCCGCAAGTGTTTCCATGCTACTGTCCCAAACATCTATATTTGTTTTCAAACCTGTTACCTCATAATTTCTTTGCTTTCCAGATCATAGTATTGTGAAATGTATTATATAGATGTAACACATAGTATTGGACTGGATGATCCCCAGAGGTCCCTTCCAACCCCTACCGCCCCATGAAACAGTGGCATTTACTCATACACCCGCAATTGTTCTTTTTCTTGACAGGCAACGGAGATGTTAGTTCATAATGCCCAGAATCTCATGCAGTCCGTGAAGGAAACTGTGCGAGAAGCTGAAGCAGCGTCCATTAAGATAAGAACAGATGCTGGGTTCACTCTGCGCTGGGTCAGAAAGACCCCGTGGTATCAGTAAATGCTTGCCACAAAGTCTTGTTTTCTGTAACATAAAATGCCTTTTTTTGGAAACAGAAGAGATATATTAACAGCAAAAGGTGCTGTATACATGAGCTTCAGATTAGCTTATGGTAATGCCCCATTCTAAGGGTATGAATTATATGAGAATGCATTTCAAATGTCTTCGGAACGCATTTGATATCGAACACCCCAAAATTCCTTCCAACAGTAGATGGTTTTTATCTTTTTTTTTTTGTCTTTTGAAGATTCTCTTCATGAATTCTGTACTCCCAGAAGCACATTTCATTTATGCACTGTATGTTCCGGTAGTTTCCATGTGACGATATAACACATGGACCTCACTTTAAGCTTGCGTTGAGAGTCTAGGACACTAGTGGTTACTTGGCAGTTCTTTAGGGACAATCATTGACAGAGAAACATTTTACTTTTCAACAGGGTTTTAGTTGGCTGTTCTGAAACCATGCAGAAAAGGTGGAAAGTGGGGGGAGGGGGTGTTAATTAAAGGGGGAGTCCAGCAGAACAGTTGTAAATCGATTAAAATTCCATATCCAAAATGCTGCTGTTTGGAACAGTGCTTTAACAAACTCTGGAGCTGCCCTCGTAGGCAAGCATGCCAGAAGCCTCACGCCGGACCGCAGCACTGCGCAGGGGGTGGTAGTGGCACCCTGCCAACAGCTTGAGCCTCACGCCTGGAGACCTTCAGTCGTGGAACTCTTTCCTTCAGGCTCAGTTCAGCTATGTATTGGGCGGAAAAATCCTGGTTCTCTTAAGCTACCTGCGTGGCCAGGACCAGAAAATGCCACGTGCTGGCTCTTGCCTTTGGAAAACCAAATGAGAACATGCAGTTACTCTTTTCTTTTCCTCTTCCCTCCACCTAATGTTATTCTAGCTACTCAGGGGAAATTAATTAGAAAAGACCATTTGCCTCACTGCCCGTGCTCCCAACAATGCATAAGCTTTTTGAAACCCAAGCGCTGCAGGGACACGAAACCCTTTTTATGTAGTCCGATGGCTACAAATGGCGGTTCCCAACACTAAACGTACTAGGATATTTTTACTGGTTTTGACGTTTGGAGGCTCAAAATCTTTTTTCAGGTTCTAGTAACAGTGAATTAAACCAAGTGTACCTTTAAAAAAGCCCCAAACAAGACCACAATAAAACCCCACAAAATCCCCCCCCCCATTACTAATGTAGACTTGGGATGCTTTTATCCTTCCATAACTGAACATGCCTATATATGTCTGTACACACACACATTCGTTTCATTGCTCCGGAGTCTCTTTTGGCATTTGACGGAATGGCGA